CAGTAAAAGTAAAAGATGGGGATAATGTGGAACAATTAAAAGAATGCAGCGACATTGTTGCAGTCGGTAAAGAGTCGTTTTAGAATCTAAAAAGACACATTTCTCGGAAACATGGCAGTCTACTACAGGAACACACTGCGAAATCAAAAGGTGAGCTAGTCGCTAATGCTAGTTAAAAATATGCTTTGTATGTGTAGTAATGTCCGTTTAATTTAATTTGGACCTCCGTAAATTTGTATTTCATAGAGCGAGAGGCACATCAGCGGGAACAAGAGAAAGAGAGAAACGGGTGGGGAAATAGGCCGTTTCTTTACTCCACACAAAGGCCCAACTGTGACAGCGGTGAGAAAAAGGGAGCTGGATGAAGCCTTTTTTAAAATGATTTACATGGACTACGAGCCACTAAGTAAAGGAGAACGAGAAGGGATGCGACACTTCGCGAGTGCTGCCCAACCAGGCTACACCCCCCCTGCTACAATACTGTCCGGGACACACTGATGCCACATGCTCTGGAAGAGATGGAAGCCAAGCTGCGAGACCTACTGCAAAAGGGTGATGGGATTGTTCTGTCAGCTGACATTTGGACCAGTAGAAGAGGGCACAGCTTCCTTGGCATCGTGGCCAGTTTCATTGATGATGATGGTGATGGTGCACCACTGAGCATGAGGAGGAGGAGGAGGAGGAGGAGGAGGATGGACTACCTGAACTCTCACAGGTCCAAGTGGAAGAAATAACTACCAATGTAGAAAGTATGGTAAACAAGTATTTTACTGTGTCAAATTTACATCTGCGGTGCCCAATTCACATGCTTCAGCTGGCTATCAAAGATGCTGTTAACGAGCACACCAGTGGTAACCGCCTGTTACTGAAAGTGGGGCAGCTGGTGACAAGGGTGCGCAAGAGCTGCTTGAACACAGAGGAAACCGACCGATTGGGAGTACGCCCCACGACTGCTTGCACAACGCGATGGAGCAGCCAACTGCGGATGATTGAGTCGGTCCTCCGGTTGTTCCAAAAAGACCCGTTATGGCAAGATCAAATCTACCGCCGCCAACATCACCCTAGACGAAGTGCATCAGCTGACGCACCTTGTCAGCGTATTAGCGCCAAAAGGGTGTTCTCCGCTGCAGGCTTGCTATCCAGAAACCACCGCATGAGTCTGAAGCCTCAGACTTTGGCCAAACTTGTGTTCTTGAAGGTGAACTCAAAAGAGCTGTAGATAGCAAACAAGAGACTCCTCTTTTTATTTTGCTTTAAATTGCACTTGTAAGCGAATTTAAGCTAATTTAATTTTATACAATATGCCCAATTACGCATGGCGCAAGCAGTATAGGCATATCATTTAATTAAGGCAAGTACATTTTACAAGTCAACATTATAGGATTGGCCTGATAGTTTCAGTTTTACAACTGGGATGACATGCATTTTGTAGCCTATTTTTATTTAACAATGCCTATGATTCATTTAGTTTTATGATTACTTTTTCATTATGATGTTGGCCAGCCATAGTCTGAGAGAAATCATTTCCAAATGTTTGTAAAATGTGTATTTTTATTTTGTTTTATATTGCACTTGACAGTGAATATAAGCTAATTTAAGTTTATAAAAC